CGACTGTTGAAGTGGAGGCGGACGCTGCGATGGACGAAGAGGATGGAGGCTGTGACGACGGTAAGGCCGAGGGAGAACGACGGCGAAGTCGAGGACGAAGTAGACGGTGGCGACGGCGACGGCGAGGTGACTGGAGGCGGCGGCGACGTGAAGGCGGACGGCGGCGTTGGCGAGGACGATGCGGAGGGAGGCGGTGGCGACGGCGAGGCTGACGGCGGCGGGGGCGACGGTGAGAAGGACGGAGGCGGCGGCGAGGTCGATGCGGATGGAGGCGGTGGCGACGGTGAGGCGGAGGGAGGCGGTGCCAAGGGCGAGGCGGACGGCGGCGGCGGAGACGGTGAGGCGGATGGAGGAGGTGGCGACGGTGAGGCGGAGGGAGGCGGTGGCGAGGGCGAGGCGGAAGGAGGCGGCGGCGACGGCGACGCCGACGGCGGCGGCGTTGACGGTGGCGGCGGCGAGGGCGAGGCGGACGGCGGCGGCAGGGAGGGCGATGCGGACGGCGGCGGCGGTGAGGGCGATGCGGACGGCGGCGGCAGCGACGGCGAGGTCGAGGGAGGCGGCGGCGACGGTGAGGCGGACGGCGGCGGTGGCAAGGGCGAGGTGGAAGGAGGCGGCGGGGAGGGCGAGGCGGACGGCGGCGGGGGCGACGGTGAGGCGGATGGAGGCGGCGGCGAGGGCGAGGCGGAGGGAGGCGGTGGCAAGGGCGAGGCGGACGGCAGCGGCGGCGAGGGCGCGGCGGACGGCGGCGGCGGAGACGGTGAGGCAGATGGAGGAGGTGGCGACGGTGAGGCGGACGGAGGCGGTGGCGAGGGCGAGGCGGACGGCGGCGGCGGCGAGGGCGATGCGGACGGCGGCGGCGTTGACGGTGGCGGCGGCGAGGGCGAGGCGGACGGCGGCGGCGGCGAGGGCGAGGCGGACGGCGGCGGCGGAGACGGTGAGGCAGATGGAGGAGGTGGCGACGGTGAGGCGGAGGGAGGCGGTGGCGAGGGCGAGGCGGAAGGAGGCGGCGCCGAGGGCGAGGCGGACGGCGGTGGCGTTGACGGTGGCGGCGGCGAGGGCGAGGCGGAAGGAGGCGGCGGCGAGGGCGAGGCGGACGGCGGCGGCGGAGACGGTGAGGCAGATGGAGGAGGTGGCGACGGTGAGGCGGAGGGAGGCGGTGGCGAGGGCGAGGCGGAAGGAGGCGGCGGCGAGGGCGAGGCGGACGGCGGCGCCGTTGACGGTGGCGGCGGCGAGGGCGAGGCGGACGGCGGCGGCG